TATATATATATATATATATATGATAAATATAAGATAAAAGCATATAAAGAAATTATTTATGTATTTTTTTAGCATGTTGTACACTCGTAATAAAAAATATTAAAAAAAATTGTATTATAAGATTAACATTTGTTGCGTTCAGTAAAAAAGCAACTTTAAGTACTTTGCGCTGATTGCACAATAGTTTTAAATAATTAAGATAGAATTATTTCTTTAAAATCTAAAAATATAATTTAATCAGCACAAAATGTTTATCAGATTACTTTTTTGATGAGCGCAGTCATAAAATAATCTATATGCAATTTATAATAAAAATGGTTATTACAAATTTGTTTTTATTTACGATGACTACTGCAATATACAGGATGGTAAGAAAAGTTCTAATTGATAAAAGTATGTAATTTTATTATAACTTTAGATGAGTTATCACAAGCAACATTAATGTAATATTACTCGTCTTTACAATATATATATTTTGAATTGAGGAATATTATGTACTTATCGTAGCTTGTTCTTTATACGTTCCAATTCGTTAACTCTACTTCGCGCGTGCTCCAATCTGTGCCACGCCATTTGCAGTACCTTTTGACTTGCATATCCGGAACCTTCGTGTGGTTGGCCTGTGAAAAACATTTATTAAAAACATATATTGAAAGAGATATGGTAATGATATTGTTAAATAAATATACATACCAGTAGAAACTTGCGTGAGATAATTAATCTGTTCACTTAATTTAGATTCCAATTGTCCTAGAGTTTTCAAGAATTGATGTGTTTGCGACTCTGCCTGCTTCAAGCTTGATTTTTCCTTGCTCAATTCCATACAAGCTTGTCCTGCATAATATAAAAATATCTTGAACATAAAAGTACATACATCTTGTCTGTATCAAATCCTTCTAATATTCACATTTTCTTTCTTTATGTATTTATCAGCTTCGTTTCGCATGTTTGATGCAAGTACATTATTTAATATACCAGGAATTCATACTAGGCTTTCTATTTAGTAACAAATTGATACAAACATCATTCTATCTTTCTTAATATTTCAGTAAGTAATAAACAAAGATAAAACAATAGTTGGGTCAATTTGTATCACTAAGTTGCAATGTTATTTTGACTTTAAGCAAGATTTAAAACTCTCCATCTCGTTTTAAAGTGAAAAAGAGACAGAGACAAAGAGAGAGTTTTAAGTCTCGCTTGAAGTTAAAGTAATGTTGATGCAATCAGGCCTAAATGAAAAGTATCCACTATAGGAACTCTCTAATAAGAGGTATATTATCTTTTGTTCAGTGAGAAATAAATGCAGAATGATTCTTGTATCAATGTGTTTCTTGATTTCTCTGGAAAGCTCTATAATGTCTATTTCCATCAATGAAGATTAATTTTAATCTCGATTCAACTTACTTTTTGTTTTTTTCTAGTTCTAAAGATTAGAAAAAACAAAGAGTGAGTTGAACCGAGATTAAAGTTAATCTACGTTGGTGGAAATAGGCATAAGTAGATCATAAAGACAATTACCTGCACTTTGTAAACACACTACAATGTCTTTTTCGATAGTCTCCAAAATTTGGATTCTTTCCATCGGCGGCGTCATTCTAATTCTTATTTATAACTACAGTTATCTTTAATTCAAAAAATTCACGTAACACTCCTGTCTTGATGTCTTCAGTGAATTTTATTCATACCTAGCCCAATTTATTTTGATCACAGTAAGAAAATATTGAAAAACATTGAACATTGAATAATGATAAACAAATCAAAATGCAGGATCTTGGACTAATTAGAACGAAATAAGAATAATAATCTAAGCACAATCTGTTTGACTTATCAAATTTGACTCAATCAAATCAAATCAGACCTGACTGTGGCTGAGCCTATCTGAACAGTCTAAACGGCTTAAACCAACCTAAACTATGACTACCTGCGTCATCTGCAAAATCGACGAGATACTATTAAAGATCATCGATCTTGAGCAAATTTTCGTGATTCGGTCCGTGGTTTTTTATTTATTATTATGACTATTAACATAAATATTTCAATAATACATTATTAAATTCGATTTTTTATTATATCAATGCTATAAATAATGCTAATATCTTATATATTGTTAAAAAATTACAATTTTTTTCTCTGCAGTTATCACTCTATTGATAATCAAACTCGGATGATAACATTAAAATCAGTTTTAAATAAAAATCGAGTATTATTAAGTTTTAAACATATGTACATGTTTACAAAACTAATAAATCATGAAATTAGTATCGTATTTTATTAGTTTCTCATTCTCAATCACTTAAATTTTAACAGGCACATGAAGTAGACATGCCTGATACTGTTGGAAGTTGGCGCTAGAGTTTCGGATTCTCTACGCATGCGCGTCGAAATCAAGTGCTTCTCTCCAAACAAAAGAAAGTAACATGGCGGAGTGGGCGCGCGTAAACTCTACGAACGTTAAATTGTATAAGTATGTAATTATCAGGATATATTCGGTAGATAATTGAATAATAATTACAGTTTTGAATTTTGTTTCATGTTATGTATACAGTAAGTATGTGTGGACACTGGACCTCAATGCCTCAGGTTACAGACTATGATCGGAAATTAATTCATATCGCCGGTGGATTTATAAGTAAGTACATATATTGATAGAATTTATATTCGCGCGCGCGCGTGATTTATTATATTTACATATGCACGCATTAATGTAAGCAAACTATTAGTCCGTTTTCTGTGGCTGAACTAGTGTACTTTTGGAACTTAAAGTGAGATAAGTATACGTTTGATACTTGTCAAAAGCGAAAAAGAGAGTTCTAGCAACAGAAAATAAATCATATATCTAATAAATAATTAATTCGATGTACTAATATTTTATTTTGGAACATGCTAGAAAATAAAAACTTGCATGTTTATTTAAGGATGCTTTCCCATAAGATGATAGATGACAGGATACGATCCAAATCACTGGATGAGTAAGATAAAGTGACTTCATTCTGCATATGTTTGAAAGCATTCTTTGAGTTCGGTCAACGCGATGCTACAAACGCTTTGAAATGTTTTTTAATGATATAATGTTTTCTGATCCGTTTGTAAAATTCTTTCTTCTAATTGGTTCATCAAACATTTCAAAGCATTTGTAGCGAGACTTTGACCACCTTAGATTAGTCAATTCGTAAAATTCTTTCTTTTGATTGGTCAATGAAGTATTCGCAGCGTTAAATGGATCACAACCAGTGTAACAATTAAGTGAATTATTATATTCCTATTGCAACGATTGCCAATGTTAAACAAAGATGAAGTCATCACTGTATTACATTGTCTCTTGCTGGAAAGTATTATAAGTATATGAGTATAGTTGGAATATTTAATATTTATATAAATCTTCCAATATAAAATTTTTTATTGCCTATATATTTTTATCAGCCTATATATAAATTTTAATTTTTACAAATTGTTTGCATTAATATCTTAATTACATTAATATCTTATTAATAAATAACGAGCATGCACTTTTTCATTAGTATACTCAGAGTGATTATCTTGACAATATAAAAATAAGCTGATGTCTATTATTTTTTGTCAATATATATTAGAAAACGATGAAAAATAAGTTGAGAGATTAAAATTAATTTATATGTATATTAATGGGCATTAATTTACGTTTTTACATATGTAATTATTTATATCCATAATGGTTATACAGAATTACAAATTACTATTACAAATTATTATTACTAGAAGAGAAAAAAATAGAGGTGTGCGAATAGTTCGAATTTGAATCATACTGGATTCAATTCGATTTGACTTTACAAATGCTTTATTCGCACATTTTAAAAAAATATATATATTTAGTATTATACGATTATTATTCGATTACTATATCAATTCACTTTATGATCAAATTTATAAGTCTTGGAACAGAATCCCATTGTAAGTAGAGAAGTGTACTTGTAATCTATTATATTACACACACACACACACACACACACACACACACACACACACACACAAAAGTATTTCTCTACACTTACAATGGGATTCTGTTCCAAAACTTATAAATTTATTCATTGAACTGATTGTTCAGTTTCTTGATAATAATAAAGTCACTAATAACATTACAAAACAGTTAATAGTATCAAAGGATGTTCTATTTGCACTGTTTGTATTAAAAGACCTCGAATAAATTCCAAACGTTACTAAATTATCTATAGGGTTATTTAAGGATATAGTAACATGTAGTGGATCGTTTTCAGTGAAAAAATCAATTACACTAAACTTCCAATCTGCATTATTTAATGGAAGTAAATTTGGATTTAATGTAGATGGCATAATTAAATTAATTTTAGGATTGTCGAATTTTGCCGTAATATAAATAGTATTGAATACTGTTTCTGATTTTTGCACAGAATTGCATGATGACACTGAATTGTTTGAGCACTGAATTATACTGCATGAACTTACGGCAACATTATCATTAACGAGATTATTTGGAATAGAACGATAACCGTTAAAAACCATTAAACGGTATTTTATACTTGGGTCTATTTTTGCAATTTCTATTCTAAAGTCGCAGCAGAAGTTATTCTGACAGATATTTTTTGTGATATTTTCTTCTAAAGGAAATGTTTCAAAGCTATCAGTATCATCATGTAACAAAAATATTTTATCATTGACTATTATCGTATCATTTTCCCATTTCTTCTGTGATTCATGCTCCTTCTGATGGTGAGATAATAAAACTTTTTGATCCTTTAAAGGATCTTCATTGTATTGAGTTTTTATATTTATTTTGGGTACTTCAAATATTAATATTTCCTTTTGCGTAATTGTAGGCATTATTGCCTTTCCAATTCCTCTACGACCTGCATAAAATATTATATATATGTGCACAATGAAATATTTTAATTGTGAAAAGTATTCAAAACTAATTTTACATACCTAAGTAAATTCCACTGCCAGCATTACCAAAACTAGGTCTATTATAGCCTGAGGCTAAAAGATTTACATTTTCAGCAAACGACCATCCTGCTTGTAATTGTATAGCTAGAATAATTAATATCAGTACTACGTATACACGTATGTTTTGATGAAATCTTGAGAAAAGAGAAAAGATTTTGCCATATTTTGTTTACCTGTTAAGAATGGCACTTCAGAAAACCATGCTGTAGGATATACAAAATCAGTAACTTGATGATCTCTTGTTAATTGTAACGCAGGTTTACGAAAATATATATCAAAACATGTAAAAGTTCCAAATTTTACTCCAAAATCAGTATCAAAACTTACTACTTCTGGTGTTGTTGTCACATTAAATTGGTATTCTTTAGAAAGATTTGTTTTACGATACCTGTTTAATTATAATTAGATAAGGTATATTATAAAACTGCGAGATGTCTTATTGCAACTATAATTATAATGAATAATTAGATATATGTTCTAACCTGGCAATAATTTTTCCTGTGCGATCGAATACAACGTTGGTGTTGTAATAGAACATTTTGTCTTTTGGGCAAAGTTCAGAGCAAGGTTCTTTCTCAGCGATATTGATTACCACATAAATTTTGTTGTTCCTTGCAGCACACGATATTTTTCTCAATGCCTGTGTTTTTCAAAATTTTTAGATAATTTCAATATATTACATTAGTTTTTTGCTATATAAAAAATTGTGTGAACTATATATTGGTTATACATACATCGCTAACTTTAAAAGTATCTTGGCAGCAAGGTATATAATTAGATGAAGCATTAGGAACAATAGTTGTCCAATCCTTCAATTTTTCTCTTTCCGGAAAATTTACTGTTGTCAAACCAGCTTCAGGAAAAACGATTATATCAACAGCCTAAAAATTAGATAGTCTAAAAATTAGATCCTAAGTAATTTTTGTAACATACAACATGTTGTCAAAAATATACTAATTTTTTAGTATAATTTGTGAATTGTTTGAAATTATTTTCTTTTAAAGAAAACTTACATAAAGATTAGCTACTTTAATAAATCCCACAAATGCATCAGAATTTATTTTCAATGTCTCGTTGCTGTTTGTTGAATATTTTGGAGGATATTCTACTACAGCTGCTATATAAGTTGCATTTGATGTTGATGTCTATAATAAAATATGTAGAATTTATAGAATAGTTTGCCAAAGATGTTTTAGATCGAACAGTATAATTAAATATACTAAAAATATATGTACTGCTAAATATCACTCCTAAATAGATAAAAATTGCTTATGTTTACCTGACGCGATAGATGTGCATATGCTATTAGTAGATAAACAATAATTAATTTCTGATTCATATTTTATAATTTCAATTATGTCTGTAAAAAGAAAAAAGGACATAGTTTATTAAAAAATAATTATGTAATAAGAAATAATTTACATAAAAAATTATAATTTGAAAACAGATCATATATTGATTATTATATAAAAATTAAAATTATAGATTTTTAATAGCGTCAGAAGTATGCACGTAAGTTTTTTTAAATTAAAAGGCAAAGGAATTTGTATCTATTTTGAACCTATTGAACCTATATTTTGGCAAAAAAAGAATTGATATGTAAATACAAAAAGCATTATTTAAGATGGAACAAAATGCTTTTTTCATGAATTACATGAGAAAAGAACTATTTTTAAGTTGCTATTTTTGAAAAAACATTTTGAATAAAAATGCTATATCTAGAAAAAAAACATTTTGAAATGTATTTTAAAAAATTAAAAATAAAATGCATTTTAAAGTTAAAAGTTGTACTTTAAAGTGGCATGAACGAAATTTAGAAAAAAACTTGTTGTCAGCCTTTAACGCTGTTTTTTTTTACAAAACTTATTGCAGGCAAAAATATATTAGAAATGACTCACGCTCGTCTTGCAAATTTTATCGGATAGTGTTATCTGCGTGTAATTTTTCGCTAATTATTAGAAACGTAATCCTCTAATATCATGGGACTTGAAATGATGCATACTTAATACGTATTCTGGTAAAACTTGAAAAAATTTTGGAAAAAGTTACGCCACCATTTTAATTTTTATATATAACACTTAGACACATAAAAATATAGTTTTTAATCTGAAAATTAGACAATAGTATTCTCCCGTATTTTAAAAATCGAGCTATTTTTCATCGATATTGTGAAATATTATGATATGAAGCAATTTGAACATCGGATTCGGTTTTAGATTGTCAAAATACATAAGAATAACGTAATAATATGACATTTTTGATTGATATTTTGTTAACATAAATTTAATAAATTTCATATCAATCAATTTCATTCATTTCTGTATTTATATTTGAATAAAATCTTTTTTTCCAATAATATCGCGTACTTGTGAAACGTTACTGATCAAATTTGCGAGGGACAAAGATATTTGTGTATATAATTTAGGACCACAATATCCTAAATTATATACACAAACTGTAAAGTAGATTAGATAGAACGAATTGAAGCAATATGTGATATAATGGTATAAATCTATTGAAAAAATAATTGATATAATTACCTAGAGTAAAATAATTATTTATGTACATATAACTGCAGACAAGTTTTCTCTTCGCGCGAACTTATCATGTACGTAGCGTAATACTACTGGTGCACATTTGCGTTTCAAGTTATCTATAGAGAAATTCATATTCTAAGTTCCCTTCCCACGATCCTGTTGCGATTGTCAGCGCGGCCGGTGGCTCAGTTTTTTTCCTCGAAGCGTTTTCAAACGAACAGCAGTAATTAAATCGGTAGATTTTCTCGCGCATACTGCTCTACATATCCACGAACTCCAAAAATCGATAGATTAATGTGCTACTGCTGTTTTCTTTTGAACTTAAGTTTGTAAGAGGAATTTGTTAGACTTGAGACTATATGAGAGAGTTCAACCACTTTAAATATCATATTTCACATTCAAATTTCGCGTCAACTTATGGCAACTTATGATCTTAATGGCGAATCAATAATTGTTAATTAAATTTTTTTTATACGTTTTCTTATTATAGGGTTACACCATGAGAAATGTTTCTTCACAATGTTATTTCAAATTCTATAGGTCATCAATTAATTATGGTTCGAAAAAAAACATTGAATACATTTCTCTGCCATTGTCTGATATAAAATTCTGTTTAATTGCATAAATAATATTATGGATAGACTATATATTTTAAATTCGTATTCGATTCTCTATAAAATATTTTTCGAAAAGTCGTGAAAATTTTTATGACAGATCTTCTGTGTGTGTGTGTGTGTGTGTGTGTGTGTGTGTGTGTGTGTGTGTATGTGTGTGTGTGTGCGCGTGTGTGGTGTGTGCCGTAATATTTTTATGTTCGTATTTTTATTTGATAGCTTTATATATAAATAGTACGATAATTCTTAATAATAAGATTAGATTCACAAAAAATGCAAAAACAATTTAATGATTGATCGACAATGATTTGATCATCTGTAGAATGAAAAAAGAAAAGTAATTCTAAAAAACATGATTTGATATTATAATATCTTCTTTTTTAAAAATTATTTATGACGGCTTATGATATTATTTTAGAACTGAGCTTTAATATATTGTTGGAAGTACAAAATTATAATACATTCATTCATATAATTATTTGCTCGAAATTCGAGTAGAAGGACAAAAACTGTGACGTAGTATATAAATTATATTTTTCACGGGAATTCATTATGATATATATCGATCCGGAGACTCATCACCCAATAATGATATTATTATCGTCTATGAATGAATATTCGGGTATCTCTAGATTAGTCATTGCTGGGCCCTTTCGTATACGGCCGGCTGCATCAAAGTGTGAACCGTGACAAGGGCAGAAAAAACCGCCAGGTATGAGGCCGGCGTTTGGAATTGGTACGCATCCCAAGTGTGTACAGATACCCATCACAACCAGCCATTCCGATCTTTTAGCTCTATCATTGTCCGTTTCTGGATCACGCAGTTCTGATAGATTCACCGCTCTTTCCTGATTGATAATTGATTGTGACCTGCAATATTAGTTCTGCCAATAATCTAATATTTATTGTCTATCAAATATCGGTAGAAATTTGCTTTCACAGAATTTTATTTAAAGAACTTATTTTTATATATATGTTTATTTTTCATTCTAAATAGAAGACACTTTTTAGTTTGCGTTTATGTTTTTAAAGCTTTATTTTTAGCTCTTATTTAAGAAATATAGTCTAAACTCTAAAAACAAAATGGTATGATATTGGCGATCTTCCTCTATTTTTCGATAAAAAATGCATGAATATGTATAAATATATGTAAACATACGTAAATATTCATAAACATATATAATCATATATATGTTCATACATGTTCATAAATTTCTTTTTCTTTTGTAAAATTATTTTTTAGTTTAATAAAAATAATAATAGTGATATGAAAACATTAAAAATAATTAAAGGGATAATTTTCGCATTATTCGTTTCAGAAAAAAATAAATTTCGAAAAATGTAAAAAAAATTGCTCATACATAATTATACACAATTATACATAATTTTAGATGTAATTATACATATAATATACAATTTTTTTAAACTTGATTTTTTTTTTAAAACAAATAATATGAAAATTACCCTTTTAATTATTTTTAATGTTTTCATATTACTATTTCATATTATTTTTATTACATTAAGAAGTAATTTTACAAAAGAAAGAGAGATGTATGAATATATATGGACATACATATTTCATATATGATTATGTTTATGAATATTTATGTTTATATATATTTATATATATTCATGCATGAAAAATTTTTATTTTCGATTTTATCGCTTGAGATGTTACAATCTGAGATAGTAGGAAAGTGGTGAGTGAATATATGCAGAAACTTTAAGATATTTTTTTAAAATCTTTATTAATTTAAAATATAAAAAAAAATTTTTAAATAGATTTATGAGAATTTTTTATATTTTAAATATTTTATGAAGATTTTTAAAAAATATCTTTTAAGGTTTCTATTCACTCACTACTATATCATATGTGATAATTTCAGCGTTATTTAATTGATCATTCTCGCTAGCTTGAATGTGTATTCGTCTACTCCGTTTTTTCATTATTTTAAAGTCAATTGTTAAAGTTTTTTATTAATTTCCTTACCGATGGTAAATAAAAACAGGTTTTCCACGCCACTTAACGACTAATACTTTTCCCTCCGGTATACCATTTAATTTCACTTCTAATTGAGCCTCTGCCAAGATATCTCGTGAAGGCATACAAAATAACACATAATGCAATAAGTGAGCTTTACAACCGTATAATCCGGTAATACAAGCAACTGAAAACATTGTATTTAATTATATACATATATCTAACTTGAATGAACTGAAGATTCTACAGAAATATTTATTGTTTTCACAGAAGAGACATATTTGATGATATAAAATATCGATGATACAGGAAAGATACAATAAAATTTTTTAGAAATATTACCAAAAGTGTAAAGACTTCTTAATGCTCTTCGTTCATCAAGGTTTCTTGTTTTAAGATCTTTCAAAGATTCTCGTCGATATTCATCAAAATTGGGTCTTGGAAAATCAGTATATCTGCACAATTTCTTAAAATCTGATTCAAAATAATGCGAAAGTAATTATACACACAGGAGTAATTGTATACATTATTATTCATGAAAGACTGATAAATTATTTTTTATTGATTACTTTATTGATTACTATTGATCACCCAGCAAACGAGAATGGATTAAAATGGATTGAAATTTTTTTCTATCTGAATGCATATTTTCAATATATGATATTGCATTTAATTGGATTCAATTGGATTCAATTGGATGCAATTGGATTGAAAAATTGCATTTCCTATTCAAAATTTTGAATTGAACAGTATTCATAATTGTTTGTGTGCACAGAAAAAACTAATATTATTTTTAGATTGAAATTATATTTAGATAGAGATATGCTCCATGCAATCTTTTAAATGAATAAAAATGCATTCAAGATTGAAAAGCATTCATTTTAACATTCTTAATCAATATTTCTGAAAATCTGAATTAATTTCAATCCATTCTAGTTTGCTGGACAGTATTCTATCATGATTTGTAAATATCATTGTGAAATCATTTATTGATTTGCTATATGTGACTGGTTTTCAACTATGGCTGTGTTCCATTTAACGCTCGCAACGCTCGCGAGCATCATTTATTCTTGCTTAACATTTGATAAACGATAAGAAATAATTCCACAAGCGTTGTAAGCGTTAAGTGGAACGCAGCTTATGTAAATTATAATTCATAAATAATAGATTAAGGCCAATTAATTGATGGACAGGATTTGTCTTTCCTCAAGTGCATATAGAAAGTCAAACATTCTGTGAAAGGGATGTTATTGTGCATTTCTTATCGAAATATCAAGCTTTTTTGAATATAATTTAGTAATATTATTTACATTTCAGTATATTTCAAATCTTTCCCGAGATAAACTATGTAACAGATTTTACTTTTCATATAAATACTTACAGTTAACTTGATATAATTGTAACAAGGATGAGATGCGTTTATCATAATTCGCAATAAAAACACTGAGTACGTATTTCCTTGAAAAAAACATTTTTAATAGTAACACTTATTTAATATATTTATTATTATTATATCGCTGTAGAATAATTTGACAGTATAAGTAATGTCTGAAGTTTCGTAAAAATTTTATCTTACTTCGATTGTCAAACAAGCAACTGTGGCCATATTCGTATATTACTACCAGTTGACTGTCAGTATTGAAAACTCTATTATAGTTCCCGGTATATTATATTGTACTGACAATTAGCAATAATATATGAATACGAGTTATACAGTATACATTGATATATATATATATATATTATTACAATCATACATATTAATATATTAATATACTATATGCATTTGTGTTAATTTAATATAATCAATAATAATTTTATAATCAACAACATTTCTTATATTACTACAATAAAATTCTAGTATATTTATATATGATTATATCAAAAATATATTTTGCATTTATGTACACAATGTAAAAAAAATTGTGCACATCAATTTTTACAAATGCCACAATCTGTAAATTTACAAGAAACTATTGCTATCTAATTTCTAATCTAATTTCTTTTCCTTGATATTGAAAAGTAGAAGCAAAAAATTATTGAATTATTTATTGAATGAATGTAAACAAAAAGTACATTTCTGGAAAGTATGTCGCATAAAAATATATATGCAAAATATATTTAAAAATAGATAAAAGTATATAAATGTGTTGCGTGTATAAATATAATAATTTACAATTTTGATAACAATAACGTTAGTAATAATATTATGAAATAATTAACGATACAAAATGATATTCTATTTGCGTTGTTCTTATTAAAGTTCCTCGAATATATTCCAAATGTTACTAAATTGTTTGTATGCATATTTGAAAACATGTTAACATGTATATGATCATTGTGGGTGTGATCAAGAAATGTCCAATTTTTAAGCGGAAGTAAATCGGGATTTAAAGTAGATGGCATAATTAAATTGTTTTTATAATTGTGAAATGTTGCCATGATCTCAATATTGCTGAATATCGTCTCTGATTCTTGTACGGAACCACATGATGAAACCGAGTCGTTCAAACATTGAATTATACTGCATGTACGTATACCAGCTTTAACATCGCCATAAAACCGATCTCCGTTAAAAACCACTAAACGATATTTTGTATTTGGATCTATTTTTGCAATTTCTACTTTAAAGTCGCAGCAGAAGCCATTTTGGCAAACAGTTTCTATAGCATTGCCTTTCAAAGAAAACGTTTGATAGGCTTCAAAAGAGTCATGTTTTAAAAGTATGTGCTGATTTGTCCCATGATGAAATGGTATAACTTTCGTTTGATTCGTTGAAGAATCCATTGAATGATAGTTATTATTATATTTAGTTTCCTTTTTTATTTTGCTTACTTCAAATATCAATAGTTCCTTATGCGTAGCTGTAGGCATTATTGCCTTTCCAATTCCTCTACGACCTGCATCAAAATATTGTCTTTATATGTTATTGTGCTCAATAAAATATTTTAACTGTGAGTAATATTTAAAATGTAAAGTGTAATTTTACATACCTAAATAAATTCCACTGCCAGCGTTGCCAAAGCTGGGGTTATTATAACCCGAAGCCAAAAGATTTACATTTTCAGCAAATGACCATCCCATTTGTGTTTGCACAGCTAGAATAATTAATAATATCATTATATATGTTTCAATGAAACCTCGAAAAAAGGGAAGAAGATTCAGATTTTGTTTACCTGTTAAGAAGGGTACTTCAGAAAACCATGCTGTAGAATATACAAAATCAGTAACTTGATGATCTCTTGTTAATTCTATCGCAGGTTCGTGAAATAATATATCAAAGCATATAAAAGTTCCAAATTTCACTCCAAAATCAGTATCAAAACTTACTACTTCTGGTATTGTTGTCACATTAAATTGGTATTCTTTAAAAAGATTCGTTTTACGATACCTGTTTAATTATAATTAGAGATATATTATAAAACTGCGAGATGTCTTATTGCAATTATAATTATAACGAATAATTAGATATGTTCTAACCTGGCAATAATTTTTCCTGTGCGATCAAATACAACATTGCTATTGTAATAAAACACTTTATCTCTTGGGCAAGGTACATCATAGCAAGGTGCTTTTTCAGCGATATTAATTACCACATAGATGTTATTGTCCCTTGCAGCACATGATATTTTTTTCAATGTCTGTAGTTTCAAAATTTTTTTATATAGATAATTTCAATATATTATATCCATTTCTCGTGATACAAAACTTGTATACAATCTGTACTATATATCAAATATACATACTTTGCTGACTTCAATAGTATTTTGACTGCAAGGTATATAATTAGCTGAGGCACTAGGAATAATAGTTGTCCATTCTCCCATTTTTTCTCTTTCCGGCAATTGAATTGTAGTCAAACCATCTTCAGGAAAAACGATTATATCAGTATTCTAAAAAAATATTCAGAGATTTTAAATAATTTTTGTAACATAAAACATGTTAGGAAGAATGTTGATTTGTTGATATAATTCATAGAATATTTGAAATTATTTTTTTTTTTAAAGAAAACTTACATGTAGACTAGCATTTTTAATAAGTTCTACATATGCGTCAGAATTTATTCTCAAAGTCTCACTGCTGTTCGTTGAATATATTGAGGGATACTCTACTACAGCTGCTATATAAGTTGATGAATCTGGTGTTGATTTCTGTAATAAAATTTATAGAATAATTTTAACAATGATATTTCAGATAAAATAATATAACATATTAAAAAAGTATATCATTGTTAAATAGATAAAAGTTAGTATGTTTACCTGATGCGATAGATGTGTACATGCTACTAGTAGTAGATAAACAATAATCCATTGTTGATTCATATTTGATATTCTCAATTATATTTCTGTAAGAAGAAAAAAGATATAGTTTATTAAAAATAATTATGTAATCAAAAATAATAAATAACTTACATAAAAAATTATGATATGAAAATAAATTGTGTATGAGAATTAATAAAATTATACAGTTTTAACAACTCTAGAAATATGGATGTTTTTTAAATTTAAAAATAAAACAAATTTATATTATAGAATCAATTTCTGTCTTTACATTCATTTTGCACATATATTTTATTAAAAATAATAATTTACATCAAATTTTGGAATATCTTAATATTATTTGATAAAGAAATAACTTTTGTTGTAACATGGAATATTTTACAACATTTCATTGAAAAACTTGAATTTCTAACAGATATTTCAACTTAATATTGATCATTATAAATAAAGTATTAGTACGTGAAGCTTTTTACTTGAATATATATTCCATTAGATGAATCAGGATTATGGTTCCATTTCTTTGATTGTGAAGTTCAGAATTATACATACCTTTAGATAACTTTTCATGAATTTTGACTCCTTGACTTTATTCTTTCTCGCCTTTCAACAAAGAACGTTTCAGTTTAATATGAATTTCAACGTGATAAAGAATGTAATGTTTAATATCAACTTTTTTTCCAATATTTTTAATTATTAAGAATTTTACATATATTCAATTTGTTTCCAAAATTTTTAATTTATTATTTGTAAACAACAGAAGGCTTAGTATAATCGAAACGTTTCATGCATTGCATATTAATAAATAATTAATTTTAATTTTTGATTTAATTAATTGCTTTGTTTGACCTTTTTATTAATTTTATTATATTTACACTTTCTTGCTAGGAAATTGATATTAATGTTTCTACAGAAAACTC